TATGGCCGTGTTTTGAACTCTTCGAAGTTTATCCAGTTCCTGTTTTGGGAGACCATAAAGGATACTATTACAGTAGTCCAGACAGGATATTACAAGTGCATTAACTAACAGTTTGAGATTTTCCTTGGTGAGGTATTTGCAAATGCGGCCTACGGACCTGATGGCGTCAGTTGCTTTCTTACACATCTCGTTTATGTGGTATGTCAGTGATAGGTTTTTATCTAAATTAACACCAAGATCATGAACGCTCTCAGTTAGTTCAATGACGGTATTGTCAAAAGAGAGCTTCTCGAAGTTAGGTGTCTTGGTGAACCAGGATGTAAATAGTATAACCTCTGTCTTTTCAGCATTACTTCTTAGCATTTTTTTTTTTTGCGTGTTCCATCGCATTACATCCTCTATACAACTTCGGAGGGCAGTCAGGGACAGGGCCTGATTTGCAGGATCACTAGCTATATATAGTTGAGTGTCATCTGCATAAAACAAAGAATTCAAATTATGGAGAGCAATTACATCTTGAGGAGGGGTGATATACAGGGTGAAACGTAATGGTCCAAGTATAGACCCTTGTGGGACACCATAACGCGGAGCACAAGGAGTGGACACTTGATCTCCAATGATTATTGATTGCCGACGGATTTCAAGGTAAGATCTGAACCAGCACAGTGTCAATTTTGAGAAACCAAAGTAAGACTCGAGTCTTTCCACCAAGATTGTATGATCAATAGTATCAAAGGCCGCTGATAAATCAAGTAAGACTAATACAATATCTTGGCGACAGTCAATCGTTCTAAGAATGTCACTTGTCACACGTAGCAAGGTCATTTCGATAGAGTGGTGTCTCCTATATGCAGACTGCATAGTTGGCATCAAATTGTAAACTTCAAGGTAGTTGTACGTTTGTGTTGCGACAACCTTTTCGATCACTTTGCTAAGAAATGGAATATTAGCAACAGGCCTGTAGTTCTTCTATTTAGCTCTAAATATACAAGAAAGGAAGTACAAATACGACATGCAATCAGTTTGTAATGAAGATTTTTACTTTTGAGTTTATGAGCCTCTGAATATGCCGCTCATTTTTGATTGATTTTGGCCTATTTGGGACATCAAAATGAAAAAATTGCGTAAAAAAATAATTTTTGATTTATCGAACTTAAAACAATATTTTTGTAACTAGTGCCTGTAGGGCTTCATTCTGGGCGAGTTTGAAGAAATTCGATTTTTTCGCTTTTTCCAAGACTACAGCGTAGTTGATATTTAGGCGAAGCTGCTCTTAAAATGTCCTTCAATCCTTATTAATGTCACCTCTCAATTCTGAGATGTCTGCGCCCCTTTATAAACTGTTCAATTTCAGCTTGGGAGAAGATCAATGCATAATTGATCTAAAGAGAATCATGGGTTGATTAGGAAGTTGAGCAGTTGAATACATATGGGTCATTCCACAGTATTTTGTACGTGTAAATGTATGTTGCAGAGAGGACATTTCAGAAACATCAGCAGTCTCTAACTTAGTTTAAATTTAATTACAATAACAAATCTTTTTATCACATTGACTGTAAGACCAAACCGTAGACAAATAAAATAAGTTCCATTTAATGCTTACTGCAATTAATCTGATCAAGAGGTAGTCTGAATGCATTTTGAAGATGATATTTGAAGGACAACAATGACAATCAGTAACAATGTTTCGACTGAAAGGAAATAAACTACAATATTTCTAAGAAACTGATGCACTAATTGAAAATCACAGCATAAAGTAAACTTACAAATATTCCTCTGGTCGGTGACGCGAAGAAATAGATGAGGAAACTTGAATTAAACAATAGAAAACCGAAACACAACACTAGTGAGCGAAAGCATGTGGCGATTGAGAAACTTGATTGAAAACTGATCCAAATTCATGAATGAGTTGTGATGTAACGCAATATCACACGCACTTAAATAGGATTATGCAACAATCACGCATGGAAAAATCAAACAAACGGATCGAGAAGTTTGAATCTAACATACCAGCCCCTAAATGCGACATTAAAGCATTTATACTAAGTTGAATGATTCAAACGGAAAAAACTTGAGAAATTGCTCCTAATCAATTAAGATCTAAAAAATTAATGTCAATCAATCCATATCAATTCATTCAAATCAGAAGACAGTCAGGTAGACCAGGAGAAAAGTGTTCCCTTTCATGTCGCAAACAAACTTTTCCGCAAGGGGCATCCTCAAGATCCATAGGGCCCAGCTACTCTTGTGGATCTGGGTGCCCCCAGTAGAACAATCTTGCTGATGGGGTGTTCCAGGACTGACACTTTGGTCTTCAATGCCACTCTCCTTACCAACCCATCTCCCTTGTTGGGTTTTACTTCCTGGATACGACCAAGGGGCCACAAAATCCTTAGAGAGTTCTCGTCTACCACAAGGACGACGTCTCCAACTTTGAAGTTAGTTGTTGATCCTGTCCACTTCTGCCTTTCTTGCAAACTAGGAAGATACTCCTTGAGCCACCTGTGCCAGAAAACATCTGATAAATACTGAACTTGTCGCCACCTCCAACGGGAATAGACGTCTTCCTTTCTGAAAACACCAGGCAGCAGTGTAGTACCAGACCGTAGCAGAAGAAGGTGATTTGTTGTAAGGGCCTCAAGGTCTCTTGGGTCGTCGGACACCTTTGTGAGGGGCCTGCCATTGACTATGGACTCCACCTCACACATGAGAGTAGCAAGCCCTTCGTTGTCAAGGACATGTTTCTCTAAAAGGGCACTCATAATCTTTCGAATGGTGTGAATGCAGCGCTCCCAAACGCCACTGTGGTGAGAGCCTGCTGGTGGGTTGAAGATCCACTGAACATTTCTCTGCAAGAGGAACTCCGCGATGACTTCCTGGTTCCACCCGTCAATAGCATTTCACAGCTCCTTTTCGCCCCGCACAAAGTTGCCGCCATTGTCTGGTCTGATAGATCTGTTCTGGCTGCCCCTTGTGGCGATAAAATGACGCATGGAGCTTATGAAGGGGTCTGTAAACTACCTTGATGTGGATCGCACGTACAGTCAAAAAGGTGAAAACCACACCATATCTCTTGGTTTGGCTCCTCCCACATCGAACCAAAAAGGGCCCAAGATAGCCAACACTGACATAGCACGGCA